CCAAACTGAACTACAAGTGTGAACACACCCTTAGTTTTGAAGTTATATTTTTTGCCCATACAATGAAAGTCAATGGGGTCCAAAAAACCTGAAATTTAAAAGAGCTGATTTTCTAAATATTTTATTTTGTTTTACACAGAGGACTGAAATTAATGCAGGTTTGGAACGACAAATCCTGATGCATCATCCACTAGCTAGTACTCGGTTTTGACCTGCAAGATTGTGTGGTCACACTTTAGATTAGGGTCCAATTCTCACTATTAACTACAACTTTTGCCTCAATAAACTCCTAATTACTGCGTATTAATAGTCAGTAAGATAGTTGTTAAGTTTAAGTATTTGAAGGATTAAGGGATGTAGAATATGGTGATGCAGAACAAGTCATTAGATAGGGCTTTATAAATAGTAATAAACAGCCAATATTCTAGTAATATGCATGTTAATACGCAAATAGTTAATAGCGAGCATTGGACACTAAACTAAAGTGTTGCCGATTGTGTCATAAAAATTACATTTAACACATATTTTTGCAGGCATGTTTGCACTGTCATTATCTCTTAAGTGAATTAAAGGTACAATCTGTAATTTTTTTGCCGCCACAGGTCGCATTTTCAAAACAGTAACAAAGACGAAACTTGATGATGCTATGAAGTGGAATGATTGGAAATGTCGTTTTCACCATCCAGAGATGTATAGAATTCACGAATCATATAAATGATATCAGCTAATAAATTAGTTTTTGTATTACCTGTACGTTTGATCACACTATTTTATGTCATCGTAATGAATTAGCTACAAGGAACATGAAATGTAATGCTATATTAGCCTGTTACTGATATGTGACTAATTGTCAAATGATTTGGTGGGTTAATGCTGCGCAGTTTTACACGTTTAAAACAATCGTACTAAAAATACATTTGAACAAACCCACAGTATTTGCAAGTAATTGATAAATATTTTTAGTGAAACACATGTATTTTATTTCACTGCCATAGACTTGGTCACCAGACCTGATAAAAAGCGTTACTGAAGTACAAACAAAGTGCAATATAACTGTATGTGTACAATAAATAATATATATTTGCTTACGTCTATTAAAACACATCTCTGTCGACAGATCAAGTCCAAGTTTGTCGCAAAGCTCTCTCCATCCTGAAAACGCCACACCGATATTGATCCTTGTTTTATTTCTCCGTTTGTCCCAAAGCTTGCTTGCCTCAGTTGATATGTTTACGTTTTTTGGGGGATTTTCTGTACCCGCCAATCAATAATCGTGAACCATGATGACTGAACGACACAATTCAGTGGCGTGCGAGATATTGTATCATAGATATGTATACATAGATAGATCCCTCAATAGCGTATGTATCATAGATATATACACTAGATGTCGCCTTGGCTACGGCAGTTCATTGGAACGAATGCGTCAATAGAGCCGCCATCATGGAACAGGGGAGCCCCTCCTCTTTAATGCATAAGCGTCAATGTAGGCAAAGGTCTAACGGAAATAAAATCACCATAAATCGTCACGAATGCGATTTTCTATTTTTTTTGGTTCGTTCCAATGGTCAGACATGTATTTGTCATTGAGTCCAGAGAATTTTTTTTTTTTTAAACATTCTTCCTAGTTCAGATTTAGTTCGTGTGAACATCCATAACGCAGCACAAAAGTCTGAAAATCCATGAATTCCAAGTACAGGCGGAGATAGCAGCGTTAGCTACTTCCTATGACAAGACCCCTGTTCCAAGATGGCGGCGGTTTTGACGCATGCTTAGAACCCCAAGGCGACATCTAGTGTATATATCTATGCGTAGTATAACATACGGCCCATTGAAATGGCCGCTAATGAGGGGTCTATGTATTATTTCTATGGTTTCTACAAGCGGAAACCGAAGATAGCGCGGACATTACGTCATTGATAGGCGACAATGACAAGGGACGAGCCATTATTTAAAACTGGATTTTCTCTGGATTTAAAAATCCTTGGGAACTTTTGGGATAATGTAAGTACACAACTGCATGAAATATATCACACTGTGCAAGTGTTTTTTTTTTTACATATTGTTCCTTTAAGAACGAAAACAACGCAGACAACACGCAAATAAACACAAAGCATTTTTAGTGAACTTCTCCTGAAGTTGTTTGAAATCTGACTGAGTCAGTTATTATAGCCTACAAAGATCACTGAGACCTAAAAAGGGAATATATAACCAAATTACAACAACACTGGACTAAAGAAAAGAAGGAAATCCAAACCCTTTAAGAAAGTTTGGCCAGACTGAAAAAAATTTTCAAAGCCAAAAATGGATGTGGAAGGAAAGCTTTCAGGCACTTTCGGGTCACGTGAAGCTGTTTTAAGTGACTATTAATCTGCAGAAATACACGTATGTGTAGAGGGAAGACACATTTGCTGCTAAAAATGGCAAAACATTCAGTCTGAAAGGCACAAGCTTCACCTGGCCCACAGTGCTGAGTGAGGCTGCTTTGACTAGACGGAGCTCCTCTGCTACTCCTCTGTTGGACTCCAGTGCTAGTAACAGAACGCAGAGTGTTCCGTCTGAGACTGGGTCAAACACCTGGATGCTACACTCATTACCTCACTATTGGTCTGAGTCAGCCATCAGGTGCTTCATCCACCTGCTCTTTTACACATCTGCTCTTATCTCTCCCTGAAAATTGTATGTGGCTGCGACTAAAGGGAGTTTTTTTATTACTGCTGTGCCATAACAACAACAACAACAAAAAAGAATTTGACTTGATGACATTTCATAACTCTCATTTTCCTGTTTTGTCCTTGTCTCTGTCTCTGTCTGTCCCTGTCTGTCTTTCTGTCTGTCTGCTTCTGTCATTTACATCCATCTCATTTTGTCATTCTTTGCCTTCCATTTTTTTTTCTCCTTCTCTTCCTTTCCCCTGATTTTTGAACTTTAAAAAATAAAAATTCTGTCATTCACCATGAATGAATCCAACTATTTTTTGCTTCCATAATAATTCCATTCATTCATCTTTCTCTGATGTATGTAATCTATCCATTAACCATTCATCCCCTCTGGATTTTCGCTTTTGTAGCTGCTGGCTACGAGAAGTCCCGGAGCCTGAATAATATTTCGGGGATGACAGGGGCGCCCCTGCGCCTGACCCCCATCACCCCCATCAACAACTCACCCTACGAACCCTATGAGTCCCCTGGCCCTCTGCGGCGCTGCCGATCCCCCATACCCTCCATTCTGTAGCACATCTTAGGGAAAGGCAACGAAATAAACCCCAGAAAAAAAGACCCTCACGCACCGTCATACCGCAATAGTATTAATAATCATGATAACGACGCTAAGTACTCACACCTCCGCTCCTCCATTGACTGGACAGGGTGGGGGTACACACCACTCTTTTTAATATGTCGTGCCTCAAAGGGAATGGGATACATTTATTTAGGGATTTAGAGCTTTAAGTACTAAAACGACTTCATCACATATACTTCAGGCAATATTTCAGACAGGCAACTAAAAACAATTATATGCTGTAACGTTCAGCATATAGATTATGCCTTATTATTGAAGATAAAAAATAAATAAAAAGAAGCACTGAATATTATTAGGATAAAACTCCTCACTGGTCCATAGGCAGCGACGAGTACCCTGTAGGAAATCTTTCCCTGTAGTTGAATGACAGTAGTTGGCTTTCCCACACGTTCCTGCCTGATTGCTGGTTGTATAAAAAAAAAAACGAGACTGTGATCCAGCAGGCTTATTCATTGAGTGCTAGTCGCTGAGATCAGCTTTGATACACCATTATAGGCCTTGAAAAATTCACTTCATATCAAAGCTTGGAATGATAAAGGTCATAGGTCACAGGAAACATGCAAGTAGTTCAAGTGCATGCAAGAAAAGATGTCCATTAGGCAAGTAGAATATATCTAAACTCCCGATTCCCTTTAACTGCTATGAAGATTTGAAAATGAAGGCACTGTATGCTGGACTGATTTGAACTTTGGATTGGATCATTTTGGCTGATTTGATTGTGATGAAGGAGTTTTTGGTGATTCAGGCCATGAGTATTATGATGATAACACAAGAACACTTAGGCCTCAATTATTCACATACAGAGTATTTCCTACAGCAACATTTGTTGTCACTCAATATTTGAAAATATAATTCACATCGTTATTATTATTAGGACAAAGAAAAATGCTTAAACCATTCTTGTGCAATATCAACTATTATGATGACCTCTGGCCCTGAGGAGCTGACGATGAACCCTTCAAACTTTACTATGTACAACCATTAACTTTAACAGAGAGACCGAGAACTGATCATTACAAAAAAAAAAAAAAGAGAGGCTATTTTTGTACTAAGCATTTGGACATTGCGATTCGGATTGGGGTTTGGAGGTGCGCGGGCGGCTTTGAGTTGACATTTTGGGAGGACAGGATATCGTGCTGTTGCATGGAGATCTACAATTAATGTGTTGGTTTTTGTATTTTGACTCTCTACATATTCAACACCAAGTACCACGAAACGAAAACAGCAGTGGTCTGGACACATGGCAAAAAATAAAGAAATAAGAAGTAGCCATCCTATTAAGGGCCTGCAACCTTCTGCACTTCTTCGGGACCCTGTCCAATTTGTATACTAGTGCATGAAGGAACTTCCTTTAAAATGTATCCTTTCCTATGGTACTTCCTCATAAATATGAAGACATATCAAGCTGAACTGCACTCCTCCCTGCATATTCACAAATCCTGGGGCTGTGGCGAACCTCAAAGTTTCCCCTACTAAGGGCAAGAATTAGCTGGACCTTTTCATCCTCATCATCACCATCATTAGCATTTCCCTCCCTCATTATAAATCATTTTCTGATTACTGTTATTCCTATTATTTGAATGCAGTATTTGAATCAGTTCAGTTTGTTTTCTCTATGGTCCTCTTCTTTTCTTTCTCTGTTTATATATATTTTTTGCCTGCTCTGTCTCTTGGATGCTGACCTTCGTTCCAATATAAAGGAGGGAACATTGAATGGATGCTGGATTGACAGCGGTCAGTAAGAGAAGAAAAAGAAAAGATGACAAAATGAACTCTGTAATGCAGATATATGAGCCATATGTTCCACTGTGTGGGGGATTTGTGTCGATCTGCTGCATCTTTGAGTGCACAGACGCAAAACACACCTCTGGTGAAGATATCTCTGCAATGGCAGCTCACAAAGCTTCTTCTTGTCTTTCTCTCCATGTGAAACAACAGAAAACCTGGGGTATAAGTGACATGTTTTTATCAGAAAGCAAAGTAGCATTATTTATTTATTTTAGATTATTTTATTGTCTTGCAACATATACCCATATCTAATTTTTGATTTTGATTTTTTTTACAGTTCATATGTAATCCTTCTTTTGAATGAATCAATATAGTTTTCTTTTGTTTTCATGTGTTTTTGCTACTGTCACATTACCTGTTACACTCCTTTTTCCCTCCTCTCTTCTTTTTTGGTTAAAGACGTTCACTGCTATAGTGAAGAGAATCATGGAGGTTGTTGATTACATGGAGCATCTGCATGGCAGCAGCAAACTAATGTGTGGCTCTGTGCTTGAATGAGTAAAACACCAATCATTAGTCGTCTGCATGTGTGCTGCCCTGCTTTATGTACATGCTTCATATACATTGAAGGTCTCAGGACAGTGAGCGAGGGCCATCTGCTGGGTGGATGTGACACCACATGTGTGCTTGTGTAACTGGAGTGTTCAGTTAGACATTTACGTGTAGACGTCAAGTGTTTTCTTTATTATTGAACCAACAGGTCATCCAGCCGTACAACGGCAAAATGCAGTAACTACACCACACAATTTTCATAGTGGAGCCAAACCATTATAATCCAAGAGATCTGATTTTGCTTATAACTCAATTTTGAAAAAATGCATTAACTGCATTTTGTCTTTGCACAGCAGGATTGTTTGAGGCAGGTTGTCTAACATAGATTTTTTTAATTCTTTTAAAAGGTGTCTATTAAAAATGTATGTTACAAGGTGCCTTGTAAAACAAGCAAGTGCAAGTGTGCATTATGTATTACCTTAAATTCAGACAAATGACCTGGTATATTTAGAAGGAGAGATAGAGGGAGACTAAAATCCCTGTATGATTCAGGTCCAGTCAAAACACTGTTTTATTTCTCATCTCTTATGTCTCTTCCATGTCCCTCTCCTCTTCATCTTTTTATTTTATTTTTTTATGCTCTTTATGAGGTTGTATAGTTCAGGTCTTAATGAAATGTACAGTTTTGAAGTTTGACTTTGTAATTTCCACATGCATGGATTTCTATTGCGAGCAATAAGGAAATTATAAGTCTATATATCTGTTTTGATAAGAAAATGTATTTTAACAATGAGGTTTATGTATATGTTTGTGTGTACATATGGATGTGTATATTCATATTCATATGCACATGCATATTAATGATTTGCATGAAACAAATGTACAAACTATTTTTTTTTCATTGCTGTTTTGTTACCAATCTGTCATTTTTGACTTGATTGCTGTGGATGGGGGGGGGCGTGGCTTAGTTTTGCATGCCAAGATGCTATTGGGTGGCAGAGACCATTACAACTGTTGTATTGAATATGGGGTTTTGAATGTGCTTTAACTATGTACGTTTGATTTAATTTAATTTTCTCTGTTAGACATCAAAAGCATTGCAAATGGTCATTTTATGATTTATTCTTTTTCATCTTTTCACAGAGAACTATTCTGAAAGCCCAGTGCTTATCAGATATATGCAAAAAGAAGCAGTAACTGTGAACTAAGACTAGAACAGAAAATCCACTTCTTCCTTTATAAAAACATTCCCATACGAACATCTGAGCCCCTGAACCAGTATCAGCTCCTGTGCAACTCCATTTTAGTTTGTACTCTCATCTCATGACATCATCAATCTTGTTTAATCGTCTTAGTTTTGCATTATTAATGAGGAAATTGGTTGTTCTGTTTCCCCTTGCTGTTGTGTTAACCTCAGCTCTAGCCCCCTCTGCTGGTTTTTCGAGGGATGAACTGACGTACGTAGCATTCGGTGTTGTAGATCATTAGCACTCTTTGGTCACTTTAGAGGCTAAGAATACTGATTTTTAGCCCTTAATGTTTACCTGTTAAATATAAGATTAAAGAAAAGATACATCAGACATTTTTAACAGACTCTGACCTGAAGGATTTCCTGTTCTCTCTTGTTTGTTGACAACTAAAATCACTAGACAATAACACTGATCAGAGCAGAGAAGATGCTAATAAGTCTGCTCACAACAGCAATGCATGTTTTCACATATACAAGATAGCTAGCACTTAGCATCCTAGTGCATTTTGTGGTTTTGCTGTGTGTTGTCTATCTGTAAAGGCATAGGCAGGGTGGACAGAGTGGATGGAACAGCTCCACTTATATCCCTTTATCTCAATCCTGAAGTTATGATGTGGAAGAGACAGGCCCGCCACAAGTTAGCTTAGTTAGCAAATACCCTGGTAAGCAGAGGCTGCATGCAATCACGGAGGGCAATTTAAATAATTATCTTGTACAGAGACTGCATGTGGAGTTAACGGCACAGAAACTATTGTTTGACTATTGTTGAATGTGGCATTTGAAACGGGGAGAGCAGGTTGAGTTCAAATGATTTAGCGACATTACCCAGTATCCTCTCTGTCTCTGTCAGACTTACGCTCCCCTGTCACTACTCAGGTAAATCTCTTTTTGTTTGTCTATACCAGTGCTTCCAAAATGATGTCATTCAAAACAAAGAGAGAGATGGATAAGTTACGAACACCACATGTACATATGCATCTGTGTAAATATGAAATCATTTTTGACCCCAACACTCATTGCAAGTCTTCCTTTTCCACAGTGTCCTTATCTTCCTTTATTTTGTCATTTCATCGTTCACTTTCATTTGTTCCCCAACTACAAACTCTTACTGCTTCCAAATAACAACCAAAAAAGCCCAGATGACATTATGAGAAACTGAGGAAAAATAATCAGTGATTTGTTTAAAAAAATTAACAAAAAGAACTTTTCAAACACGGTCTGCCATAAGTGGATTACAAAAAAAACTATGTGGAATCAGGACGCAACCAAAATCAGGACATGAGAGCATGAGGGTCAGATGGACAGATTGTGTGTTTGGGGAACAGAGTATTGGGAGGATTGTCAACAAATGAAGAAAGGCATCGTGAAATGGAGGACAGTTTGAGGAAGAAAGAAAAAAGGCAAAGAGAGGAGGAAGGGAGCTGAACGCTTCTCAGTGTAAGAATGTGCATATGGTGTTCTGTGTGTCACACTGTGTTCTCATGTGCCTGACTGTGTGCTTAGTGTTTTGTTTTGATTGTGTGACACTTTATTTTCCCGCTCTTCTAATGTTTGGCGCTGTTTAAATGGTGCACTCGCTCTCTATTCCCTATGCCAGATTCACTTTTTGGTAATATCAAAATAAAGGGCACTTCATGGGGAATAGGGAGTCGTTTTGGGACGCACCCTTTGTGTGGAGGAGTTCACTGATCTACAATGAGCTTTTGCTTTGTTCTGGTCCATCCTAGAGGGCTGACAAAATCGATGATTATTAATTGATTCTGTTGATTTGATACACCTAGATTAAAACCACGCTTTTGTGGCCCTCAACGACTGGAAATTTTATTCAGCTTTGTGTGTGTTTGTTTTTGTGAGTGTTATTCCAAGAGTCTTGCATTTGTGTATTTTGTTTTTAAGCGCATGTTACATGGGCTTTGCTATGAGTACACTTGGGTTTTTTGTTTATTTATTTAATTTTTTTAAAATTGGTATTTAGGAGACTTTATGAAAATATGTTCTATGGACATCACTCCAAAACAAAGAAAAAGAAAATTATGTGTTTGGCTTCTTTAGCTTTGGCTCTCACAGTTGCACGGTCTGAAACGACTATCATCTGCGATAGCCTCTAGCGGTGTGTAGCTTTTAGTGCGTTTGTATTGAGCCGATGCAACGTGTGATGTGATACTGATTTTCCTGTCCTCCGTTTTCCTATACCCCTCTTTTTCTGTCTTTCTTCCCTACAGTGCTGAGCTTCTGAACTGCCCCTTTTCCGATCTCCCCAACTGCAAAACCTGTCCAGAGGCAACCCCCAGGGTCACTGCAGGAAATAGAGACGGCGAAAGAGAGAAAACGAGAGATGAAAGGAGTGCTACGCTAATCCCACTTGAAGAAAACATTGTAATGCTCATCTCTCCATTACTAATTTTAACCCCCAACGTAGGTGCAATAAACATAAGATGTCACGTCCTGGGAGGATGTTGAACACATTTTCTTCCTACAAGGATCTCCAGCCTTGGGAAAAGGGTGGGATTCCGCATACAAACTGTAGTATGTCCTGGCAAGACCCTTCCTGGTGGAAATGGATGCAATTTTAAAGTAACGAGAACTATTTTTGTGGGGCGTTCCACCAAGTTAAATGCACCTGAAAGTGGACAACAAAACTCTCAATCCAGTCTCAGATACAAATAATGTGTGGAAAAATACCCATCATGCTATTCAACGCTATGCAATTCAACCACACATTCACAGGCGAGTTCATCAAGCACTTCGATCGAACAGTTTATCAGCCAAACTTTTTCCACTCCTTTAACTTTTGGAGATCTTGCACGTGCTTTAAATGAAAATAGACAGCGGTGTCATCGGCCTGCCATATTCCTATATCGTACGAACAGTTTCCCATTCATCTAATTGGAAAATTTTGTTCAGAGTGTCCTTCTCAGGGCCCACGGAAAGGTGACTTTGTCCACTATGAAGAAAAGAGCGTCAGCCTCTCTCTTTTCTCTCTCTCTTAGTTCAGCTCTCTGCATCTCAGCATTTCTGTTCCACTGTAGATGAACTGCATGGCATGAATGAGAAAAACAAAAAAAACACACATCAAAAAACAAAACAAAACAGAGAGAAAGATGGTAGAGATCGTGCTGAGAGGTGCAAGAGGAAACCGAAGACAGGGCCGCTCTGTTTGCACAGTACAATATGGGTGACTCTGGACAAGTGGATGGGGTCACGGATGAAAAATGCAGGTCCTTAACCTTCAAGTGGGGAACACAAAATACAACATAAGTGCATGACACCTAATGAAGGACAAAGGGGGTTTTAAGTGGACTGGATGAACTATGACAAAAGCTGAAAAAAAAGAGAAAATTAAAAATGCATTTTTCTCACTTTGTTTACCAGCATGACTAAACTGCATGACTTCTGCAAGCCCTGAACCCCAAATTAGAGGGCTTGGAATCACTAAACACCGAAATCAAATGGAAACAATAAAAGTTTATGCTAAATGCTACTAAATTTAGAGAAGAAAAAAAAAGAATATATTTAAAAAAAGAGAGGCTCTATATTTTGTTTTTGAATAAAAAAGAATAATGTAAAAATATATAGGATTGCAAGATTCACACAGTTTTGTTGGATAAAAGAAAAACAAACCCCACTGAGTCTAGCTGAATGATGAGACAAACTCCTTCAACTACTACTGCTCCCTCCATGGCTTCAAGTGACATTTCTTTCCTTCTCTTTCTCCACCGTTTCACCCTTTACTTGAACTCTCCTGGCTCTCTGCTCTGCCCTTCACGATCTCCCTCAGTCATGGCAGCCTCCAGCAGTGGCACGAAAGCTCCTCTGGAGACCTCCGACACCTACAGGGCTCTTTTCCTTTGACGGTTATGGGTCTAAAGAGCAAGGTGGAAGGGGATTTTAAGGCTGTGGGTGAAGTTTTCTCTTTATGTTGAGTCCTGATGGAAAGTTTTGAGTTGTTTTGCCATGTTTGTTCTTTTTATTTCATCCACATGCTGTGGGTAAAATCAAAGCTTTATCCATCAAAAGTGAGCCACTTAATATAAATCTAGTGAACATTAGCATTATGTGCTGTGTCTTGAGACCCTGAGCACTTACATCGCAAAGCACTATTGTCCAATCATGAAGCCATAATGTGAGATAGCGCCACTGTCTGAGCTCAAAGGTGCTCAGCATGGTTTTGTAGTTATTAAGTTGTCTTGGTTTTGTTTAAGATGTTGACATTAGCATTCATTTAATTTCTATCATTTATTCTCTGAATTATTTTGGGTGGTACAGAGCTTTGCAAGGTTTTGACAAGATTTTTTTCTGGATTACTAGATTGTATTTCAAAGTTTCAAAAAAATATTACAAATGCTGAGCACCCACTAAAACCAGCCATGCCACACCAAAATGGACTTCCTTATTAACTTAGCGGCATATTTCTGATATTAGTATTAGCATTATCCTGCGTGAGAGGAGGCCATGATTCCATCAATATCTCTTTTACATCATAGATTACACATGTGAGCAACTGTTTGTTCAGACCTTTTCTTGTCTTCTTTGTTTCACCAACAAGATCTGAACCACCTTTTTTCAAAAGTGGAAGTTCTTGTTGAAGTCTGGTTAGGTGTTAGAGTATGTTTACATTGTTTTATGTCACTTAAAGCGTCATTTGTTGTCTTAAAACCCCATGACTGTGTTCTTTCAGCATTCATCGTTCAGAATCTGATGTAAGCTTAGTTTAGTAACTACCTATGCAACACCTAAGCAAGACCTTAGCAGCTCACACACACACACACACACACATGCCATGTGCTCAGGCCAGCTGGCTGGTGTCTGTTTACCGGTGCTGTGTGTCCAGGGAGGGAAAACGACACAGATGCAGCTCCATCACCACAAGAGCCAGCGTTATCTGCTGACCGTGTAGTGTTACTTCAAACGTTAGCAGCTGGCCCAAGTAGCTTGAAGGTGCGACAGATGTGTGCAGCTGTAGTAGCCATGTCGCTTTCTTTAGTGGTGCACTGAATTCCCTTTCCTTCTCGGTTAATATGTAAGGTCGTCTGTTTAACGTCTTCTACAATGTCTCTCCTGCATGCTTCAGGGTACAGGAAGACACTCGTGCACTTTTCGAGTTCGCATATACATTTATATGTAATCATATACTCATCTCAGAGGGTATGTAGGATATATATGTAACCAGAACTTATTTTATATATGGTACTCAGTTCTAAATTGCATCTCACAGGCATTTGCTGACTGGTTAAGTTAATGTGTACCTCTCTGGTCGTTCATGAAGTCAAATTGGATGGTGTTTTGGAGCAATAATGATGGAGGTCCACCTTTTTCTCATTGTCGTCATTAGGAATTGGGGGGACATGTTCATCTCATCCCTAATAGGAAACCCAGTGTGCCTGAAACTGTTCCCTGAATGTGTATGTAAACAGCCACATCAATTGAAGACGCTCTCTCTGTAAAAGCTTCCCACTAGGGTTTGTCTTGGCATGAATGAGATCACAACCCCTCCAGATGGCTGACAGCTCACATACCTTTACTTGAAACCCAAATACAAAACATATCAGAGAGGAGCAGAACAAAGCCAGAATCAGTCTCCACGCTTTCTCAACTTCCTGTTTGCATCCCCTCCCACTCTCTCATCTGTTCCCTCTCCTTCTCAATTTTTGAGGAAGAAGCTTTTTTGCATCCCTTGTTCTTGTGTTTTTCTATCATATTGTTTGAAGTTGAATTATAATGCATGCATGGAATACAATGAGGACATAACTTGTGAATAATTTGTGAATGGCCAGAACGAGGTAACCATCTCTTTCACCTGGGCTCTCTACTCTGCGACTGCTCTCTCAGAGACACTTAGAGAGGAAGAAAGAACATATTGTTTCTAAGTTTCCTCACCCTTCCCTTTTTCTTAAAAATGTAGCCGTAGCAAATGTAAGTTCTGGCTATATGCTAGCCATTTCGAAAGACTATATCACTATATTTATATATCGTTTTCAAGATGATATTTGTAAATGCGATGTCTGTGTATCTGTAGTAAATATTCATCAGAGCTTCCACAGACTCAGAGCGGAACAGATGCAGCAGTTGTGAGGGCAGATATCAACACAACAAAGTTTTCACTGCATGTGTCTGTATATTTGTTATAGTTTGGCTCAATATGCACTACCTGTTTTTGTATTTTGTCATTTAATACTTTAATTACTTTATGTAGCTTGTTCAAAGGGGGGAAATTCATTGCACTATCACAGCTAATGGAGCTGCTGTGGAGCTGCTGAGTCTGCAACCCTAACCATACCCCCCCCCAACCCCCCCCCCCCCCCCCCCCCCCCCCCCCAACTCCCCTGGTTAAGAAACAGGGATAGAGAGAGACAGAGAGTTAGAAAGAGAGGCCAGTGAGAAAGAGAAGGTCCCTAAAAGAAATGGATGAGTTCTATGCTATTAAGATTGATGCTGGATACAATTTTATTGTCATACAAAAAAGGGAAAAAAATATCAAGAACTGTATAAAATATATTTCAATGGAATGTTTATTATTTACCTTTTATATTTTTGAAATGTATAAAGAAAAAAATTAATAAACTGTAATAATTTAACAGAGTTTGTGAAAACTGAGACTTAAAAATCGTTATATTACTAAAAGTATGAAAGTTTGAACGTGAATGCTAACCTACCTGATCAAATCTTCTCCATTAGATAGGGAAAAAAACAATTAGAAAAAAGAAATCCAATTTAAAAAGAAAAAGTTATCAAAAAGTCAATAAAAATGTTAAAAGCTCATGCCAAAATTTTCAACATGTGTCCTGTGTGATTCTTCAAATGTTGTGATTTCTTCATGTTACTCTGGGAACACATTTACCGAATAATTAGTGTGTTTACCTATTTTCATTTCTGTTTTTGTTTATTTTATTTATTTTTAATTATTTTTAGGATAAATTAATTTCCTTCACATGCTTATAATGATTTTTAAATAATAATTCTCTTACATGTACCATCGTGACTTTGGGGCAAGGGCATGGGCTTTCTTAATCTACATTATTGAGAAAATTGAAAAAATTAAATTTCAAACATTACAATATAATTTTTGTGCACCATATTTATAGTACGTAGTTATTTTGTGTAATTACAGAGTAATTCATTTATAAAGCATTGTCTTTACCCACTGCTCCACAACCAATCCATTTCAATTAAGCCCCGATGAGATCAGAATTTGTTGTTTTATTAAAAGAGTTTGTTTCAACAAAAATGCATGGAGTTAAAACGGTTGCACTAGTGAAAATGAGGTAGAGGTTTAGAACAGCAGCATCAAAATTACAGTGAACAATTTTCTTGGCACAACACATATGATATTTCAAGTCTTGCTGGTGATTGCTGTTTGTCCCATTTTGGGTGTGCTTAAATGTAAGAAAAAGGCCCTCATCCTTCATCTTTCTTTTATCCCTCCTCACGGACACGGACTGAGAGATACACAAAAAAGATCACATGCAGTACATCTGTAATTCCTGTCTTTTCATACACTATATTTTATCATATTTTACACACTTTGTGCATTACAATATAAAGCCTTTTCTTCTCTTATATTCGGTGACCAAACCACGTTTGTGTTATTCAGTTGTATTTGTAAATCCTTCTGCTTCATCACTCCTCCACTGACCCTCCTCAGGCACCTCTGTTTAGTCTCCAGACGATGAGGCCACCCAGCAGTACTCCGCTGATAAAGAGGACTCCAGAGGAGAGGGAGATCAGGCTGGATGAGGAACCGAAATCTTGCTCAAAGGAGTAACGAGCCAAGGAAGAGATACTATTGATCTGAAGGTATTTAAAAGAGTTAATCAATGACTATTACAGATGTGTCTCATCAATGCTGTGTTAATACAAGTGTTGTCACGTTAATCAAATCGTACCCATCCTCCTCTATTGCAGATCCAGTTCAACAAGTTATCCTTGAAGTAATCCAGTGTCCAAGACACAATTCCTGAGACATAAGCAAGAATCTATATGCAAAACAAAAAAAAACAAGCAAAAAATGCATCAAAGTGCAACCACGCATCTGGTCACAAAGCTTTAACACTTTGGGCACTGAAACACAAATGATGGTAAAGAAAGCACTGTGCAGGCCTACCTTTGTAATTGCTTTTCCAACAACACAGATCAGAGTAACAATTTTCCCCCAGGTGATGCCATCAACAAACACTTTGTCTACAAGCCTCTGAAAACTCTGTCTTTCCATCACTCGTGCAAACTCGTCAACCATGCTAAAATTAAACATAGGCTATACTTGATAACAATTCATTATTCTTGAAGCCCATATCCCGCTTCCATAATAAGATAGCAACTTTGTGTCACAATTATTTTTATTGTAATTGCTACTTTCTTTTGTGATTTCTCACAACTTTATTTCTTAAACTATCTTACATTAATTATAGGCTAATATTGTTTAAGGGTGTTTCTGTAACTACGGGCACTTTTAAGTCCCAGCAGTGAAATTTTTTATTTATGTTCAAATTTGTCATTTGATGTTTCATAAATATATCCACAGTGCCATTTACACACCTTGACAAAAAATATAATTACTGATTAATGTGATTAAATACAATATTATGAAGCATTTATAGCTCAAAACACCATTTTTGTTAATGTCCCACACCTGTGGTCTCAATGTTGAGATAAATAAAATAAGCTAATTTAATTACAATTTGACATTATTTCAAATGGGATTGTTTAATATACAGATTCATTTACAGCACCTTAAAATTCTTTGTATTATTTACTGATCATTTTTATGATTTTTTAACTAAATGTGCCTGTCCCACACTTTTGAGTCCTTACCGCAACAATGAAAAAAGGCTTTTATTATGAAGTTTTATCGAACCCAAACAAGTCTAGTTTCTATGGAAACAGAAATGATCACTTGAGCACATTGCTGACAGACTGGGCAACCACACTACCTCACTCACAAGATACCAAAAAAATAAGGTAAACATCATCTTTTCTGCTCTAGTATTTATTGTGCGTCCTTACCATTCAGCTTAATAATTGTGTATTTTGAACTACATTTTAAAAATAAATGTATATTACTGTTGAATTCATGTATATTAAGATGTTAAGAGTCAAAACTAATGTGCCTTGCTAGCTGCCAATTAGCTCAAATATTAGCAAAAATGTCATTTCCGCAACATGTCTTTACCGCAGCAAATTTAGGTTTTGCGGTAAAGACCTTGTGTTGCGGTAGAGACTAATTTAAGGTTTACTGTATATTAAATTACTAATATTCAGTATATTATTAGTACTGAAGCATAATTAGTATATATATTAGTATATATATAAACATGAATCATCAACTTTAGGAGACAATATTTTTGAAGCAGTTAAAAGAGTAAGAGTTAATTAAAATAGTTATTTACTGCAAAACTGCTACTATCTTTTACACATGCAATACCTTTTGTTTTCTGTAGCATGTTTCTTTTTTTTTCTTTTTTTTTTCTTTTACAGTAGCCTGTTTTTGATTTCGTGGCAGTTTAACATTGTGTCCTTACCGACACAAGATGTCATTACCGCAGCACTGCTCTATTTTAATTTTTTTTCTCCACATTTTCATTTGCAAAAAATATTTTTACACTTAAGCTGAGATGATTAACACATTGAAATTGCAACATCTGTCATACAAAGTTAAAAATGTCATCTTTTGTGTGTATGGAAACAATTGACATCTAAGGTTACTGTACATTTTTTACATGGCATAGAAAAAAACATGAAATTCCCTATTTTGTATATTATTTTATTATATCAGTCTTTACAAAACTGTATCAAATTTGAAAAAGCTATTTAAATATATATATTTTTTTATAGAAATTACTAAAGAAAAATGTATAAAATGAACGTTATTGTAAAGTTGCGGTAAGGACCCTTTTTAAGAAGATGACCCGAAAAACATAAAAAATAAACATGTTCCAGATTAAAATCTTAACGACTACATTCTATTTTGTGTACATTTTTATATGTATTACAGACTGTGATGGTTAAAATTGAAATTGATAGAGGTTGATTTTTTTTTTTAATTGGGATAGTCAAAAGTGCCCGTAGTTGCAGAAACACCCTTAAACGGACTTCCATAATAGGCTACATACAGTAATCCACGCGCATATCAAAAAGACCTTTCGATAGCCTACTAACTTCTTAAATTTTGGATCCCGATCGACCTGATCGCCGATGGCTCTGATGACTTCAGCCATCTGATCCAGCACGAGCTCCTCCTTCTCATCACTCATTGGCTGCGGTTCAGGAAGAGACGGTGCACATCCCGCCCTCTGTGCCTCGGCCCTTACTGATCTGAAAACATATTGTGAAAGCATCGTTGTTTTGATATATCCACCTTATTTTTCTACGTGGAAGCTATTTTCTGTGAATGTATTCTGATTATAGGGAAATAGCGAGAAGAATAACAAAGTGCTGTAAATGGGGAAACTATTTGCGCTACAAACCAGGGTGTTTATAATTACGGCAATAGGCTTAGGCCTACATAATAGTTTAAGAAAGACCAGTTTTCAATATAAAGTAGCATAACGAGTTTTTTTTTTTTTTTTTTTAAGGCTACAGATAAAAATAACTGGAAGCGGATGACACCGGAAGCCAGACACATTACATTTACGTGAAAATGAAGGTGGACAAAGAAACGAAACCAATATATGGCAACCCAATACTTTATTCAGTATTGAAATGAATGGCAATAAAAATGGCACAAACGAATAACATTGAACATATTAATCTAGTTAGGTTCAATTATTATATGAATGTTTTGAAGTGACATTGATTGTGATTTTTTTTTTATAGTTTTTTAAATGGGCTTAAGGCTAAGTATTTATTTATCAGGTATATTTACAAAGTTATCTGCTCAACATCAGACAAATATTTCGATATAGCCTACCAAAAATATGTATGTGAAACTTACCGAAGTACAAGATTGTTTGTAAACCTGTCATCTAAGAGATACAAAAGTAAATGTCACTTTACTGGATTTCATGATAGCACACAGGAAATAATGGCAAAGGCCAACTTACCTGATGCCATGAGCGCTTCTTTTTCCTGTCTTCCTCTTTGGTCCTAGGTTTTGATGGCCACTTCACAAAACAAAATGAAAGTGTATCTATGGCCTATGCTTTTACGTCAATAACTGTACATGATGCAGACTTCTAACAGGTTTAGTAGCTAGCTTGCCGTCATCCACATCTTCACTCAATAGGCTAAGTGAAAATAAAAGTGAAACAAGTTCTGTTTGCTGCATTTGCTTTCATCTGTCGAACAAATCAAATCCACACTTAGCAGTCATCCTCAAAGTAATTCATTTACAAGACACATAGCTCAGAAGAAATGTGTGTTTATATGACTGGGGATGAAAATAACACTTTTTATTTGAGCATCGGTAACTTAGTGGTTGTTTGTGCCACATTTGTCTACTACAAAAACTCACTTGGACGTGCACCTACTACAAAATCACAGGTTATCCGAGTTTATGTCAAATTTAAAGAGTCCCCATACTGCGTAGAGTTGTAACACTAGCTGGAGATAGATGTAACAACGAGAGGACATTTGCTGAAATAAGATCCACACTAATTTATGCAAGAACTTTATTGAAGAACAAAAACATAATACATTTGGAATAAAAATTTAGCACAAAAACAGTTGCTGTGTGTGCTGTATATTGCTGTCACACAAGGGTTAAGCCATCTATTTTTATCCACCTATTTTTTGGGATATCACATAAAAAAGGGGAAAAAAAACATTGGATGGAAATGCCAAGGTGCGCATAAATTCTAAAAATGTGTACAAAAAACGTATGTGCTCAACTGAGGCGGATAATGTTTTTAACCAATAAGAGATGTGCTATGATGGAAACACATTTACCAAAAAAAAAACTAATAGGGGATGTGATTGATAACTGGACTCATTGGAATCATATATTATATATAATGTGAGTGTGTGTGTTAGCAGAATCAAAAGTCAATGGGGCATAAAAGCTGCAAATACCTTAATATATTTATCTTACAAAAAGAAAATACATTTTTAGAAATGTATGCACAATACTTACATTTTTCCAAGGGAGTAGACAAAACACACAATAGAAGACCACTATTCTATGTCATATAACAATTATTAATAAAAAGCTTAGGCTCAGTTCTTATCGCTGTACAATCTGTCCTGATCTTACAAAATATATAAATGCATAAAATAAAGGCATAATACAATAAAAAGTGGCAAATTACAAAATCATGCTGCAGATCAGTTTATGTGATTTGGTTTCTCTCAGGTTTACAGACTTAATACTTCTGTTGCTGTATCGCCACTCTCTCTCTTAGCTCTTTTGAAGTCTCGAGAAGATGAAGCCACCTAACAGTAGGCCACAGGTGAAGGAAAACGCGGCTCCAAAATAGGGAAAATATTTTCTCAGTGAAGAGCCAGAAAATTGCTCAAAGGAGAAACAGGCCAGTGCAGGGATACTGTACATCTGTATTATGGCGTACAAACAAATAAGTTCTAGATGTGATATTGTGACCAAAACTGTTAAACACATCTTCGAAAGAAGAAAAATAAAACAAAAGTCAAATGCTTCTTTATATTCCAGTATTTGAAACAATAATGTACAAATATTTCTTACCCATCCTCCCACTTTGCGAATCCATTCCAACAGATTCCTCCTAAAGTAATCCAGACTTAAGGTCAGAATACCTGAAACAATTCTGGGCAAGCGTGCGAGGACCATCTATTGAGAGCAAAGAGGAGCTTAGAAGTTACAAATGAACTGTACAAATATAAACATAGAGATGCACGTCTGTCTACAAACAACAGATATTAACAATTTGAACAGATAACATGCCGGATCTAACTAATTCAATACCTTTGCAGACAGCTTTCCAACTGAATAGAACAGCACTATAATTCTCCCCCAGTTGATCTGGCCATCTGTGAAAACCTGTTCCACAAGATTCCAGAAACTTCTTTTATCAGCTACTTTTACTAAGCCATCAATCATGCTGTGAGTTTAAAAGAACAGAAAGAGAAACAGGGGTTTTAAAAACCTGTGTGTAGACAACACCACTGATGTTCAATAAAGACAGAAAAAGTTGCAAATCTCAGACGGACTCATTAAATGCTTGATCTTGATCGAGCCTATCACCGATCACTTTAATGGTCTCCGCCAACTGTTGAACAAGCTTCTGGTCCTGACTGTTGCTTAATGGTCGAGCTTCGGGAAGGTCTGGTGGGTCTTCATTTCCTTCGGCTGCCACATTCATCACCTCATGTCTTACCACCCTGAAAAACATTTTATACAGTATATTAACTGAATAGGAGTCAAATGTTTAGAGGTACTATTACTGGGGAAAGCGTTATAATGACACACAGATAGTTTGTGCATCCTATGTTTCAGTTTGCTTGAAATTGCTTTGAGTCCTACATTTACGGTAGCCGAGAGAGCTCAGCAAATACAACGCACCTACAATCAGGATGTTAAAATACATTTGGTATTTGGTCGCTTTGTATTGAGTATTTGCAGCACATGTCCTGTTAAACCGATGAAGATGCTTTCTTAATTTGCAGTGCATTTAGCTCTCTCAGCTACGTATAAATTACCGTTTTTGCAGTGTCCAGTTTTTTTGTTGTTGTTTTTTTTACAAGTGGGTCTCATGTTCAAAATAATGAATTCAAAATGTTACAGTCAACATTAGGTAGGCCTATCTGTATTGAATTTATTTCTAAATTCTAAATACTTAAGAAAAATAAAGTTTTTATATTTTTTTAATCAAGAAAATATTTAATTTTGTCCACAAGAGTTCTGTCAATTATGTTATTAATCGAACAACCCCCTGAACAACAACACCATACGATCAGCACCATATGATGTTATTTTCTTCTGTGTTGGACATTTTGAGCACAATATTGTATATTCTCTCATTTTGTTCAATGTTTTATCTACAATAACCTGTTGTCAAAGATGAATTGATCATCAACAATGGTAATTACAGTTTGCAATATTTTTATGATTACAATTCAAATATATTTCCAGATTTGTCATTTACCTGATGAAGAAAAAAACACAAGGTCAGCCATTGAAATTATGTCAAAATGGTGAAATTGTCATTTATGTAGATAAGTGATGTATACTTATATATAAGTTATGTGATTATGTTGTCATGACATAACTGTGTGACTGTGTCCACTGGTGATAGTAAATTATTTGTCATAGATAGATTGTTTTTTTAATCAGAATTTTCTGTGACACAGGACACTGTGTGTGTGTGTGTGTGTGTGTGTGTGTTAGTTAACAATGTGTGCATCAACTGTTACTTGTGTTTGTATGTTTTTTTAATTATTTAAATAATTAAAATGTTGCTTCTGTCCTTTCAAAGTATAATTTATATCCACACAGAGTTTTGTATAACATCTCTAAATTCTGTTGATCTAAAACAGATTTTTTAAATACCCTACTAAATATAGAAAGTAACCATTAATATAAACGTTAAGGTTATAATGCGACAAAAAACAAATCATAAGTTTACGAAGTGAAACATACCCGATTAAGAGTGCTTCTCCAATCTGATCATCTGTAGATCGAAGAGAAACATTAACAAACATCTAACATCGATTGAAAAGCACAAACACACTGTCACTTACCCTGCGAGACTTCGCAAGCCATATTAGTATATTTACATATATTATTGTTGTTGTTTAGTTTCTCAGAATCAAAAATGATTTTTTTTCTATCTTTCTTGAGTTGTATATGTTGTCTACAAGCCATGTAGAGTTAGTTTTACTTTTAGTTAGTTAGTTTTGTGAATGATGAGTTCCTCTGCTATAGTCCAATAGTATGATTAGTTTGACGTAGACTACAACCAGTGTTGCCATGTCCACCGCAAGTACTCTCAGCGTCTCTGCCTGGGATAATCGGATATTCGTCCATAAAGTTAGGGCTTACGCAGTATAAAACATGCGGGTTGCGTTTTTTCCCATGAATTAAAATATTTTTTTTTCTTTGTATTTTTTTTTAAATGTGTTGTATTGTTTTAAAAGTATAGGCTATTGTAATAAAAATATTATAGAACACAATATTTTACAACAACTTTCAATGCATGCAGTCTTAACTAATCTATGAGTTTTATATTTTCTATGTTGTTCCATCTGACATTCCCTAAATCGAAAAACTGGTTTCACTCATTTTTACTTTTTGTGGCGCTTGTTATTGCAGACTATTTTGCTTGATTCTGTTGTGCGATATCTGGCAACACACTACAACCCAGGAGGAAATACCATAGACAGGAAATACCAGCGTGAGCGTGGACGTGACGTGAGAACTCACGTTGAACGTTCTTTTGAAATAGTGAGACTCTTAACATTTACGTGTTTTGATCGAGATCTCGTCTGTTCCATCTCTTTTACAGTCTGATTCCATCGTGTTGTCATTAGTACAGCTTTGCACATTTCTACATCTGATAGCTATTATTAAGTGATATAATCACTGCACACTCAGTATTATTATTTCATTTTTGAAGTGGCATATTTTTCATTAGTCCGTAACAATTGTTATTTTAAATTTTTTAGGTTTAATTTGTTATGGCTGGTATTTCTACAAAGACTGTGCACGAAATCTTTCAGACTATGGATTATGGATCATCCACCACGAACACTGCAACAGCACAGGTAAGTTAAAGCGCGGTCTCCTCGGGGGAAATTATCTTTGTATCTTATGTATCTTGGGCAAATTGTATTAAAAGCATCACAGCATGCTGCCACTTCATCACCCAATGTGAAAATGATTTACATGTGACAGTACATTAGGATGACCGCTCACGAGAAAAGCATGTGACACGATGCAGGTTGTCCTCTTGCTGTAAAATTGTATTAAAAAAAACCCAACACTGTGCGGATTGTAGGCCTACTTATTGGTGCATCTCTCGACTCTAAGAAATAAGTTAGTTCACCTAAAAATGAAAATTCAGTCATTTATTCATCCGCAACATCCAAATTCATATGACTCTTATACAGTCATGTAAAATACAAAGAGATGTTATTTAGAAGTTCGCTACAAACAGACAGCTTCAGTCACCATTTACTTGCATTGCATCTCTTTGCCATTCAAGGCTGTCAGTGTTTATGTCTTTTATGTTTATGCCTTTATAAAAATCCAAATCAGAGTCATACAGGTTGGAACAACATTAGTATAAATAAGTTTATTTTTTGTGGTAAAACTACGCCTTGAAGTATTGTGAGCAAAGTTCAAAACGGTTAACTGTTCATGTATTTTGTGAGAGCCATAGGTCTGTGAATGATTTACTGCAACCTTCACCCTTTTTTCACAAAGCCAATCTATTGGTTCTATCAAAGAGCTAGAACTCACCAACCTACATATGTTTACTTCAATTAAACATGGTTGTATTTTGAAGCATACATTACCAAAGAAATTTGAATTTTCAACATAAGTTGAACCTAATTCTCAAGTATGGTGTGTCATAATTTCTTTCTCATTCCACTGAAATGTGCATTCTCTCAGGAAAGTGTCCATTTTCCTGCATGTCTTTCTCTCACTCAGTCCTGGCTGGAGAAGCACTCTCGCACTCTTGGCTTCTTCGTTGATGGGAAATTTTCCAGCCCTGCAGACAGGCAGACCCAGGATGTGACTGATTCCAAAGGTGAACAATATTGGGTATTTTCCTGGAGTTCTTATCTGTTATCCAATCTTCCATGCAATGATAAGATAACTTCTCCTGCCCTCCTCCTCTCTCTTTACAGCAGCGGTGGTCTGCAGCACTGTTTGTGCTAAAGATGAGGATGTTGTTGCTGCTGTCTCCTCTGCAGATCAAGGCTTCAAAACCTGGAGGGAAATGAGCTGTTACCAAAGAGCCAAAGTCTTACTCAAGTACTAGATCTTTACTCAAAATAATGTCATAAATAATTAACCTATCACAGTAATTGTCAGGTTTACATCATTGTTAATATATGTTTATTCCCCAGGTTGGCGAGTGTTCTGCAAAGACACAGTCAGTGTGTATCTGAGCTGTGTGAGCTCTCTCAGTCTTCTACCTCTCCTACGGTGCTCATTAGACTGGCCCAATACTACGCCAGCTGGGCTCAACTACGAGACACACTCATGCCTGAGTGGACCCCGCATGGTATGTGCATGTCTATTCGTTTATATGAGTCTGAGAGACAGAACTCATATAAAAAAGGGAGAAAATGTGGCTAAGTCTACATTTTAATTTCAAAAGGCTCCCTGTCCACGCTGGTATTTTCAAGCGTTTTCCTAAAGTTGCTCATCCACATCTGAAAATGCTTAAAGTCCCTGTAAAGTCAAAATTAAGTATGTGTTCTGAGTTTGTCACCCCACAGGAAAATGTGTTATTAGCCACCCAGCCAAATTTAAATGATATAAAAAGCCACCAAGTAAATAAAATAAGCTATCAAAATCTTGAAAAAATGAGTATTATTCTCTGCTCTCAACCGTTGGGGGCGTGTCCGCTGGCCGCGCTGAAGCCACGCCCACTCGCGGGAAAGCTGCCGACGGTGATATTAGTTGATACTGCTTTTGGGACGGGAGGATGAAGGCTGAGGCGGGAGATAGTCGGTTCGGCCCCATTCACCAGTAACAGCGGATTATCAGTGAATCCCAGTTGTCTCCGACGAAAGTTTATAAAACTATCCTGTGTAAAATAAACACTACAGAGGCGGGTGTTGGTGGTGATCCTCCGCTCTCCATCAAGGTGGCTCTTCACAAAATTAATCCACCTCTTCTTGATATGATCGTGTTTCGGAAATTTAAATAAGGACACCGATCTGTTTTGTACGTGATCACATCCAGGTAATACTGTGATGAAGGTATAGCTAGCTACTAGCAAACTGTAGGCTGTAGTAACTAATAGTAGCCTACTACTGATAGATAGATCGCGATTGAGCTGCGACCTGATGCGAATGTGCTCTAGTTAAATTGTTAGGGGAGGGGCCAGCCTCAGTGGCTCCAGTGCGTCATCGAGCCACCGTTTTAGCCCCGCCCAAAAAAAATCCTGAACACAGCAACGGTGAAAAACTGTTTTACCTGTCTAACTCCACAATTCAGTACTTCACAGTTCACAACTTCACAATCTTTGTAATGTGTTTTAGCAATACATTTCTAATGTGTTAAGAATTTTTTTTTTAGAATTGCCTTTACATGGACTTTAAATCACCTTACTGCGCATGCGTAAAACATACTAAAAGTTCAAAAGATGATACAGAGAGAGCAGACATAAAGTTCTCACACTACTTGTCTGGCACGATAATTTTATTAGCAAAACATCCCACCACTCAGTGTTGCGTCCAGGTTGCACTCAAAATGCGTCTAAAACGCAATTGTCGTCATGTTTTGCTGCAGGACAGCAATTGTGAGTACATTTTCAGTCATCTTTGCAGGAATGCAATATGAAGACTGTACAAAGGAACATTTCTCTTTATCAACACTATGAATATATATATAGCAGGCACAACAATGCCGATATAGACATCTATCGGTACAACATGTCATCGTTTTCGAAAGCATCGGTTTTCACAGTCCACACTACAACGTGAAAACGGCGTTTTCAAAAAGCTCAGTTTTCGTTGATAAAAAAGCAAGTTTTCGTGAAAACTTTTAATGCGCTGTGGCCGTTCATTTACACAACAATGGCGTTTTGGGGGCCTGAAAAATGCAAACTTTTGAAAACGTGTTTCAAAGTGCAAGTTTTTGAAGCCAATACCGTTATCGTCTCAGTGTAAACTACAAAAACGAGAATTTATGAAAACGGTGACGTCCTTAGCAATGTGTATTACGTGTTCATTCTATAGGCGCGTAGTGTTTCAGTACAAAAACTGCAGAGGAAAAACGTCTCCATTCGTAGAACATCATTACCATGTAAACATACCCTTAGTGTGGACAAGGCCTGTGTAATTGACTTGTAAGAAAATGAGCAGGAAGCATGATGGTGAGTCTGATGTCATGTTTTGCTTACTCCACTAGGTGTCGTGGTAGTTTCAGATGACTGCACTGTATATTTTCTTATGCTGAAAGTTTTACCAGCCCTATCTATGGGTGAGTCTTTCTTTAAACAGACACTTTCTTGTCAGACATCTGCATTAAAGCCATTTGTAGGTTAACTTCTGTGAACAGAGTTAACAGTATTCAAAAATAAGACATGTTTCCACTTGTAAACTACAATTTTGACTATTCTTTTTAGTTGCACTAATAGCAGAAATGACATGTCTCACATTTAAAGATAATAATACTAATTATAAATATAAATGGTTTTTTATCCTTAGTTTTGACAGTGTTTTGAACATTGTTACTGTAAAATTGTGGGGGGTTTTTTAGGGTTCTTACATCTTTGTTATTGGTTTACCTCTTACTGATTTAATAAAATCATAATTCATTAGGATGAGCTTTTGCTTCTAAATGTAAGCAGCTAGTAAACGAGAGGTGAGGGTGCAAATCAAACTATTATTTATTTGCCTTCTATATTTATTTTCTAGGCAATGCTGTTATTGTAGTGCCTGGCAAGACTACCACTCTTCCTGCCCTTCTGTTGGCTCAGCTGTTTATGGAGGCTGGACTCCCTGCTGGAGTGTTAAATGTGGTGACAGGCAGTGAAGCACTGGCTGCCAAACTGGCTCAAAATCCACAAGTGACCTACCTGACCTATTGTGGATGCAAACAGACCGGAGAAGCTGTGGCTAAAGCAGTGGCTGGCTGGGGAGTCCCCATGTCTTTCTCTCTCTCACAAAGCTCTGTGTGCCCTTTTATCATCTTTGATTCGGCAGACCTCGACAGTGCTGTGGATGGAGTGATAGAGCTGGCCTTTAAGAAGAAGAGAGATGTAAGAAGAAACAAAATAGAGGCCTTTTAAATTGTAATAATATTTCACAATATTACTGTTTTTACTGTATTTTTGATCAAATAAATGCAGCTGCGGAAAGCATAAGAAACTTCTTTCAAAAACTTTTAAAAATTGTAACTGTTCCAATATATAAATATATAACCGGTTTCCAAGGAAAATATTATATGGTATTTATAAATGTATTTAATATCTAAATATCTAATATTTAATATATACTACTTGTTATTTATTCCTATTAGTGGTTATTTAAAAAAAAAAAAAAAAAACACATGACAGTGCTCCAGCCGTACCGCCATGATCGAAAACCACTGCAGCAGAGTCATGAAAAGATATAATATTTATCTTTTTGCTTGCTTCTCTCTTTCTCTTCTCCAGTTCCAGTGGGTGCTCTGTGTGCAGGAATCAGTGTTGGACAGTGTTGTGGCGAGGCTGAAGTTGAGAATGGCTGGGATGAAATGTGTTTCTCTTGTCACTGAGACTGACAGGAACCGTATAGATGTTGTTGTTCAGGAGGCACAGCAGCAGGGGGCAATAGTGTGTGGATTTTTAATTTAACATGTCACCAATACAAACATTTGTGCACATATTGTATATCTTGCATATCTTTTTTTTCTTATTGTTTTACATATTGTAGCTGATCCAGTCATGTCCTCCTCCTCCTACTGGAGGTCTCTACCCTCCTACTGTATTATGTGGACTGGCTCCCTCCTGCGAATCTGTGATTTCACCTCCTCCAGGCCCTGTGCTGCCTCTCATATCCTTCAGGAGCTCTGCTGAGGGAGTTGCACTTGGTGAGGCTGAAATGAAAAGGAACTGATTTATATGAAGAATATTGTCTATATACGTAGTGAAAAGTTGTACGTTTTGCTCTCTGTCGTTGTGTGTAGGAAATCACAGTCCTCATGGTCAGGCTGCCTCCATCTGGACTGAAGATTTGACTCTGGCTTTGGAGTCTGCAAAGAGGTGCATGTCTGGTCACGTATTTGGGCATCTGTCTGTTGTCTTGATCTCATTTTCTCTTCCTTTATCTGTTTATCTCTCACACCCTCTTTTTTTCTTTGTCCATAGTCTGTGCTTGGGATCGGTGTGGGTGAACTGTCATTCTGTAATGGATCCCGCACTGCCTATATGCGGACGGAGGGAGAGCGGGAACTGCACCGATGGAGGCAGAGAGGTATAAGAATCGCATGAAGTGACATTTCATGTGCTAAGAATGGGCTTATGTGGTGTGTAGGCCTTTGTTTCTGTTCTTTTGGTTTTTCGTACTATTTTTCTGATTGGTTGTATGGTTTTGTTTGGTGTCTAGTTCAGAATATCTGACTCTGTGATTTCCGTTCCTCTATAGGGGCTGTATCAGTTCCTTCGGCCATCGCTTTCACCCTCCCTCCCCCGCTCCAGTCCCAGCTCTATCAACTATGCTGCATTTGGCTCTGTGGCATCCAAGTTCATGATACCTGAAGGATTTGATCCTTCCAGGTGGGTGTATTGTGGCTCATAGTTTAACAGTGAACTGAGAAATGAATATAAGTTTTGTAGATAATGTCATACATTTTCAACACAAACAGACCTGTTCCAGCTGGTATAAACATCTAAATATGATCAGTATTTCAATTTAATTGAGTTTAGATTTTAGCGCTAACACCTCATCTCTATAGGGTCATTCCGTGTCAACTCAACAGAGGTCCCTGGCTAAAATATTAGCTCTTTTTTTTTTCTAAGGAAAAAATACATAAATGAAGATAAAGAAGAAAGCTAAAATATGAAATGCCATGGATGAATATTTTCTGTGTGTTCCACTATTTTTTGGGAGGGGGGCTTTAGAAAGATGGCAGCAACATTATTTTTGTTTTTTGTACAGAGATTAGTATCATTTCTGTTAGTAATATCTGTTGGCTTTAGCAACCCTTGTTGCATTATATGCCAATGGTGACCGTTCAAAAACGGGAAAAGTCACTCACAGTATTAAAGACATCCCAATATCCTTTTTAATTCTATTACTTTTTTTCTTAATTTCTAAGGCTGTACACTTAACAAAATTAAGGTTCCAAAAGGGGATTTTGCTGTTATGTAACAGAAGAACAATTTTGGATTCCCTAAGGAACCTTTCAGTGAACCATTTTTTCCTAGTGAAGAAAGTTTTAATCGTTTAAAGAACCTTTTGTGTAATAGAAAGACTCCATGGATGTTAAAGGTTCTCCATGGAACTATTGATGCCAATATGGTTCAAAATCACCAGAGATATGGGCTCAGAGCGAGTCCATGCTGAGTTCTGTGGACGCTATCCACGTACAGCCAGATTTTTGTGCACGAGTGATTTGAGTGCTCAAAAAAGGTCTAGTTGATAGTACACATGTGCCAAAAGCATCCATCTGCACTCAGTCAAATTGAGTATGGCTTGCGTGCTCAACTGTGCAAGAGACCGAGTGGAAAAGGATGTGTATCTAAGCCTTTATCTGGGAAAGCTTCTGAATTTTGGTGATTTGCCACCGACCCTGTACCAAAAATCATAATATTTTGCAAGATCCTCTTGTTACTATTACTGACAAAAACAGCAGCAGATTGTGTGGGACTTTCCACTCACCCCTCTTTTTGAAAATGAATTGTGACATTGCTAGAACCATTTTCTGATCAGCTTCCTGTACTAGTTCACTATACTTCCTCACACTTCACTTACTACCTGTCTGCACCATAGAAATAGGATAAATGGTCTGCTATTAAAAAAAACTCTTCACCTTCTAGAAGCCAAAAATTTTGGCATAATGAATGATGATAACAGTACAGGTCAAGTAAATCAAATCACAAAATAAAATCCACCCAGCCTCCAAATGTTTATCCACTGATTTTATAAAATAAAAAAATAAAAAAAACATACCTACGGGAATTGAATGTGCAATCTTTATCAATAGCAAAAAACATGTAATGTGATTATGGGGTGGCATGCTAAATGACCATTACTGATGTATTCTAAACTCAGACCTTCTATTGCTTTCTTCTATGAACAATTTCTCTTTTCTTTTTCTCTCTCTCTCTCTCTCTCTCTCTCTCTTGCAGTGTCCCTCGCTTTTACCCACAGTTAGTGAGTGGTCAGTTGCGTAAAGCTGACTCGGGCTGCAGCAGGTCAGTGTTGGCCCCTGGGGGTGCTGTTCTGGCTCACTGCCCAGATGGAGGCAGGAAGGATGTCCGGAATGCAGTAGAGGCCGCCACTAAAGTCCAGCCTGGGTAAGAGCATATGGAAAAGTTCCTGTTTGTTTGAAAATAAACCATATGGACCAGTTATGGTAGCCAACCTTTTTTGATGATCCACTTTGCAGGTGGATGAAGAAGAGCCCTGCTACACGTTCTCATTCCATTTATTCACTTGCTGACAGTCTGGATAAGAGGAGGCAGGACATGGCTGTATCAATCCAAACTCAAACCGGCATCTCATTTGAAGAGGCAGAGAAAGAGGTGGAGCTTAGCATCTCCAGGCTCTCTGATTGGGCTGCACGCTGTGATAAAGAACAGGGTGGAACTCCAGTAAGAACACATGGTGTTGGAATGATTATTCGATTAACCCCAGATTTAATGTGCCTGCTTTCTAACTACTTGTCCATCTTATTAAAGTTCCCGCCCCAGTCTGGCTCTGCCCTGTCAACTCCTGAGGCTTTAGGAGTGCTGGGAGTGATTCTCCCCAGCTCTAAACCTCTGCTCTCTTTGGTGTCTCTGCTGGCGCCTGCTGTTGCCATGGGAAATGCTGTTGTCATGGTGCCAAGTGAAAAATACCCTCTTCCAGCTCTTGAATTTATACAGGTTTGCTAAAAAAAAAATGTAATAAAACAAAACAACTCAATTAATTTGTTTAGTACTTTTCACAATGCATATTGTTTCAAAGCAGCTTTACAGAAAATGTTTATTTACATTTTAAAATTTAGGAAGTATTATCAGCCAGATAAGTAATGTCCATATGGCAGTAATATACAGCAATAATATAGTACATGTTTTGTGGTTCGTTAACTTCATGTATTTAGCGAACACAACAAATGTGTTAGGCAGCAATTTTATCGTGTGCTCGTAATGATTACAATATAAGGATTATATTTCATAATAGGATAATATTTTCAAGTTTTGCATGTCATCTGTTGCTGTCATCTGAAATCTTTGCAGTTGTCTGTGTCGTCTGAAAACATTGCAAAGTCTGGATCCAATCTGTAGTTACTCCAGGATAACTACAGGCATCCTGAGGCAAAAACAGGGAAGCAAAGGGAGAAGAATAACTGTAGGCGCTGTTCATAGCATTTTAGGCAAAGGATATACAGTAGTCAACATTTGAAGTGGATCAAAAAAAGTTTATCAAAGTTGTCCTAAGACAAGAACGGGTATTGTTCAAAATTCATGTATAACTTTGATGAAAGGTTTTGATCCACTTCAAATGTTGACTACTGTATTTGGTGCTGTTTCATCAGATATAATTGTAGAACATGTTTGTGAAAAGCATAATGTAAATGCTCAGCTAAAGATATGTGTCTTTTATATAGAAGAGACTGAGATTGCCTCTGGGAATCCTTCCTGATAATGGTCAGGGCTCAGAGTTTAGGAGCCAAATTCAAATAAGCTCCACCTTCTTTAATAGACTTTGACATCCTTGGTACTATCAAAAATCCAGCATTTTGTGACCGTGGTGGATTAGTTTGGAGTTAGACCGTTCAGGGCTTTATAGATAAAAATTAGGAAACAGTATTTTACCAATCGCATTTTTGTATGTGTATTTTTAAAGTGATAGCAGGAGACACTTCACACTCACTGCTGCCTTCATTAACGTTCAGTTTTCAGAATAAATCTCCACATTTCAATTCTTTGTTTGTAAAGTCTTCAACTTCTATTTGTTTGCTCAAAGGTCCTACAGGCCTCTGATATCCCTGCCGGTCTGGTCAGTATAATAACAGGGGGCAGAGATCAACTAACCCAGGCACTTGCCAACCACAGTGTGATTCAAAGCATTTGGTATTGGGGAAGTAAAGAGGTGAGTTTTTATTTTTTATTTTTTATTTTTAGTCTTAAAGTGGGACTAGGGGGGCATTGAGATATAGAGAATGGAAAAACTGTGTATTTGACATTGGCAGAGACATGATATTGCAAAGATGGTGAACTCCATTATTAATTTTCTGTTATATAGAACTGTATAAGTATACATGCTATTTTGACTGCTTTGAACAAGGAAAATGTTCTGTCAGCACTGGTCTTATTGGATATATGGAACTTCTCTTTTTAGGGCTGTCAGTTTCTTCAGTACTCTTGTATCAGTCCCCTTAAACGTTTGTGGCTACATTGTGAAGAGGAAGAGGAGAAGGAGGCAGGCCGAAACTGGAGCAGCTCAAATCCCTCTCTTCAAGAAGAACTTTGGAGGAAGGCTGTGGTCTGGAAGAGTATATGGATCCCTTCTGCATAAAAGCACTTATCATTCAGTTTTAGGAGGTGAGGGAGCAGTAGTAGATACTGTTAAGTTTTCACACAAGCCATTTAGACAATAAAGAGTGGCCGGGGGTGTTACAAGAACATTTTTCACTTTCACAAAGTCACGTATAATAAGAAAGTACTTTTTATTAGTATCCTATGATAGACGGTTGTATTCTGACAAATTAATAACTGTTATAACTAGTCTAATTTGTTTCAGTACAGTAATCAGGTTTTATTACAGTGTAAAAATAATAATAAATTGCCATTATTGTACAGAACCAACAATTATTTGTAAAACACATTGTGCTCTTACATATTGCAGTGAATTTCAGTTCCCTGTTGTCATATGAGAGGGGTCTCGATATGGTTGTTACTACGGTATATGGATATAGTTGCTTAAATGAAAACTGTAATTAAAAAGATTAAATGATCAGAAAACTGGTCTAAAATGTGTGTTACTTGCTGCTACTAAACTGAAAGAAATAGCAATCCAAGGCTTAACATGTAGCATAGAGTATTGGGCTGGTTAGCAATTTATTTAAGGCAGCTCATTCACAAAATGATATTGACGGACATCTATTCTCAAACTACTCAAAAGCCGTTTATACATGTATAAAAAACTGATATTAAAACACCAATAATTTGGCATTCTATACTGACACTGAAAGCTGTTTACGACAAAGCTGAAATTAAGACTCGGCCACACTGCCGAATTATTAAAGTTTCAAGCATAGTCACGTAATGCATAATAGGAATTGAATGGGGGAAAGCTGCTGAGTCACAATGAGAAAGCGCCATTCCACGTCTTGTGAGTGCACATTTTTTTATGCTGACACACTACATTGTCCTCTCCAGTATATAATACAAAATGCTTAGTCACTGTGACCTGTATCCGAAGGCAGTTACCAAGTGAACAAACGACTCCATGTGGCTGTTATTGGAAGACTCCCATGACATTTATCATTCCAGGGCTTCCGTTCCTATGGTGTGCCATACGCAGTAACATGATTAGCATTATGCTGATGAAAAGGACTTATTTTTAAGCCTTATTAAACTATAATATTTCACTATGTCCTTTATGTAAAAAATGTAAGATTCAAACTGAAATGTTTGTTGTGAAAATACAATGTGACAGGTGTCAGCTTGATCAAAAGCCAACAACATGCTGAGCTATAGTAAAAATTTCAATTCGTTTCCATAATTTCTATCATTGCTCACTTTAAATGCGAATCTTAGAATCAGGTTAACTGTTCAATGTTTAAATAATTGCTTTACACCCCTGCCCTGATACAATGTAAATATGGTAAATCCTTGGTTAATTACAAAATTACATCGAATATAAAGGTTTGATATTGTCTACATTTACGTAGAATGAAAAATCGTTTTCTGATAGATTCAGTTTGCCATTAATTATTAAAAAGAGTGGAAAAACGTTAAATTGTCGTATCTCCAATGTCTGCTGACTCTCAGCTGACTGTTTTACCACTTCCTCATTCAGCTCGTTCTTTGATTGGCTGGTTCCAGTGACGCATCATGTTGTGCTCGTATATAAAACAAATGCGCGCACCTTCTTCTCACTCACAGCTTCAGGAAGACACCAAGAGGTTCTTGCTTCAACAGTGATTGAACGGAACTTCGATCTCGCCTTGAAAAATTCTCCTTTCATATTTATTATTTTTTACCAACGTTTTGATTAAAAAAAGACGAAAAATCCGCCGAAATGGATTCCCAGATTCGCCAGAACTACGAGCGCGACTGCGAGGCTTTGATCAACAAGATGATCAATTTGGAGCTTTACGCTTCATATACTTACACTTCAATGGTAAGTTTCAAGCTTTAAAAAAAATCCATAATCTGCCTAATCATGTCTTTTGTCGGTTTTTCCCTCTTGGTTGCGACATGTATGCAAACAGACTTGCAGCTAGGAATTGTTTACTTTTCGTCATTTACGTCACTTTTCACGACGCCACGAATCCGCGATTGGTGACCGCGTCGCTCTAAGCGTTTATAATCTTAACCCATCGATTTTGTTTCCAATAGGCTCACTATTTCAAACGGGATGATGTGGCTCTTGCTGGTTTTGCCAAGTTCTTCAAGGAGAACAGTGAGGAGGAGCGCGAGCATGCCGAGAAATTCATGGAGTTCCAGAACAATAGGGGCGGACGCATTGTCCTTCAAGACGTAAAGGTAACATTTAAAATGTGTAACATTGAACAATGTGGTAGACAAAATGGAGACTAGGTTTATGAATATTTGTAGGGGCCTGTTGAATTGAAGGGTTAGGGGGCATCACGTGTTCACTGACGTGTTTGTCTTTCTCTCCAGAAACCTGAGCGCGATGAGTGGGACAATGGACTGACCGCGATGCAGTGCGCTCTTCAGCTGGAGAAGAACGTCAATCAGGCTCTGCTGGATCTACATAAGGCCGCCTCTGAGAAGACAGACCCACATGTAAGTACATGTTCTTTGCTCCTTAATGCTTTTATTCCATCCTGATTTATTGAACTAAATGTCCTAAAATATTTTCTGATATCTTGTCCAACAGCTGTGTGACTTCCTGGAGACTCACTACCTGAATGAGCAGGTGGAGGCCATCAAGAAGATTGGTGACCACATCACCAACCTTTCCAAGATGGATGCTGGCAACAACAGGATGGCGGAGTACCTGTTTGACAAGCACACCCTGAGCAGCTAAATGCAGCTCTCAGATCATCTGCAAAACCTCCAGCTATATTCTAGGCTTAAATCATCAAGCTAATGTTGTCATGCAGCTCTTAGGCAAATTTTTAAACTTTGAAAGATTAACACGTTAACATTTTAGAGGCTACATTTCACTGTATAACATGCATGGCTCTTAAATTAGCCATCAAGCCAATGCTCTCTTTTTGAATACACTGGTTTTAAGTGAATTTGGTGAATAAACATTTTTGGCTGGATTGACTTGTCTTTTACTTTTTTGGAGTTGTGAAATTCATGTTTTCAACAAACAGAAGGTGCTTTAGAGTTTGGTGAATAGAAGTGTATCACTCATGTAGCTTTTAGCAGTTAATTTGTATGTGGTTGAGTTTGCATATACCCACACTATTAGGATTGTTTGAACACTCGATCACCCTTCACATATCTGATTATTAACATACAATACATCCTATATGGGACGTCACGCCATTTGGAGAAGCCATCTTGACAGAATAGAAAATGCTAAACCGCCGGTGATAATACAGCTCGTCGCGAAATATTCCTATCATGCCCGAGCGATGCTTTGCATTTGGATGCGATCAGATACGTGATAATACAAAAGGAATATCTTTATACCGTATCCCAAAAGAAACAAAACGGAGAAAAGTGGTTGGCGCAATAAACAGGCAAAACGCTTACATCCTAGATCAGTTAATTCGTTAGGCGTATTATCACATTACATTCTTTCGTTTTCAAATACCAAAAGCTGATCTTGTATTTTATTTGACACTTATAAATCGGTAGAAACACAGGTTGAGACAACAGTCTCAATGACAGTTTATCATACAGTGAGAAGTATAAAAAAGTATATAAGCATAGGCTATTATTTTGTTTTTCTTGGATCAAACTAGATTAAACAAATTCATTAAAGATACACTTAATCTTGTTGGTGATTTTGTTTTGTGTTTTTCCCTGTAAACTCAGTTTAAAAATTATTACAGGTAGGCCTAGTTATATATTTTGGTGATACAAATACATTGACCAACATTTGCGGTGATTGAAAAATCATTTTCTTTTAATGAAACTCCGGTGTAGCGTGATGGGAAGTGAGTAAGGTAGCTGTAATGTCACCGAACTCAATGTCAGGAAGTTTTTTCTACACATTTAATGCCTGTAAAAAGAACTTGTGGTGCTTCATATGGATATGTGATTCCTAATTCCTTTATCTTCCTCTTGTATATTTATTTTTGTGATGCTAATAATAAGTGCGATGACATGACGTGGTGGGGGGAAAAATCGATTCTGTTCAGTATCGAGATGTTTTGCACCATGATTTTGCGCATGCAATTATATCAATACTGTAGCGCAAAGTATTGCAATATTTAGGCTAATTATAATAATAATTATATTATTAGTACAATAATATACTAATAATTACATTATTAGTATAATATACTAATAATATTACCCACCGCAATGGATCTATGAGTAGCCGACGGATGTATTCCGTCAAAATGGCTGACACGCGGCTAGGGGTCACGTGACTGGGAGATCCCTTACAGCTAAATATGTTCAATCTACTTGGGTTCATGAATCAATGCATTGTAAACCTAGGGTGGGGCTCCAGCAGGACATTCTGTTGACTAAGTAGCATTGCACTTACATGTATTCTAAGCCTCAGAGTGTTGGTAGAGTACTGGTAGGGTTAGAATAAGTTAACATAAGTAATTAAAAGTTACTTCTAGTCAGTATAATGTCTGTTGGAGGACCATCACAATAAAGAGTTAGCAGATATTAAAGGCGTGGTTGATTATGATTTCACTTTTCAAACTTTAGTGGGTAATGGTGCTGTTTGAGCATAAACAACATCTGCAAAGTTCAAAGCAAAGGGATATATTTTCTTTTAAAGAAATAGCTTTTTAAGGACTATAACAAACGGCTGGTAGGGACATCACAACCCCTAAAATGTGCATAATTTACATTTGAGCTAAAACCTCACATATACACTCATGGGGGCATCAAAGACTTATTTTACATCTTATGAAAAGGGCATTATACCACTCCTTTAAGCAGACAGTCTACTAATACTCAAATGAGAGTTAGTTGACATGTAGGTGCAAAGTTACAGAATGTTCAAAAGGGACCATCAAGATAAAGTGTGGCTAATCACTATGGATCAATTGGACAAAATTGTTTCTTATTTTTTATGAAGTGATGCAGTTGTTACAGTATTATAGGTCACTAGTTGTACACATACCGTCTCGGTTACGGATGTAACCCTCGTTCCCTGAGTAGGGAACGGAGACGTTACGTCGGATGACGGAGAATGGGGGTTTCGCCAGAAAGCCTATCATCTTCGAGTATTAAAAAACGAGCCTATGGCAATGAAATGCCATGGGTCTGCGGAATTTGCATAATGTATCTCCGCCCCACCGCGTGGGTATTTAAGGAGAGACACCTGCAACAGCAGATCATGTCTTCGCTGAGGAGCCGAGACTGAACTCAGGCGTCTACCCAGCGGTACAGCGGAAGTGGCAGGGAGACGTAACGTAACTCAGGGAACGAGGGTTACATCCATAACCGAGACGTTCCCTTTCGTAGTCACTCCGAGTTACGTCGGATGACGGAGAATGGGGGTCCCCGTGTAATCACGCCACCTTCACAGCTGTCTTCCAGTGCCCTGCGAAGTCTGACCTCCCTGTCGTGATATAGGCACGGACGAAGGAGTCCTACTCAACACAGGAATACCAAGGTACACTGGGAAGCATATCTCAGGGGAGAAATGCCACAGCATGCCTACCCATAGGGAGGACTTAAGAATACACATATGGCCGAGGGGGCTTCATATGGAGGAACACTGGAGTGACCAGCCCGTGGGGTGGCAACTTTCAACTCCAGGAGTGGCAAGGTGGCTTGCCGAGGGAAAGACACATGCTCAAAGAGGCTTACAGTGGAAATACACATGTGGGGGTTACTCAGAGGAGGAACCATGCACACGGAGGCACCTAGCCGACGCACAGGCAATAGACACTGGCGCCAGCGTCAACAGTGCTGGAGGAATTCAGGGCTTCCGAGAGGAAGGCTACCTGAGGAAATATCGCACGTATCCAGTCCGTGGATTGGAATGGCGAGCAAGCGAGACACCTAACGGCTCCCATGTTAGCTTGAAAAAGACAGTACATGGGAGGAGACTGGCTCCACTCGGAGATTGTAAAATCTGGCGAATGTGTTGGGTGTCGCCCAGCCTGCAGCTCTGCAGATGTCTGTTATGCTGGTATGCCAAAGCAATGGCGTCCACTATCCAGTGGGATAACCTTTGCTTGGAGAGAGCCTTTCCCTTCAGCTTCCCACCATAACAGACAAAGAGCTGGTCTGAGGTCCTGAAACACTGCGTCCTGTCTACGTAAGCACGGAGGGCGCGTACTGGACAGAGCAGTGCCAAGGCTGGGTCTGGCTCCTCCAGGGGCAGCGCTTGCAGGTTCACCACCTGGTCCCGGAAGGGAGTGGTGGGAACCTTGGGCACATATCCCACAACTCAGAACTCCCAAGACTACGGATGTTTTTAAAAAAGAGCTGAAAACTTATCTTTTTAGAAAAGCGTATTTTTAAGTATTTTTATGTGTTTTTAAGTGTCTGCGTATTGATTTTTATCTTATTGTTTTGTTATTTTATTTTATTTTAATTTTATTTTTTTCTTGTAAGCACTATGAGATTTGATGTCAAATGTATAGTGCATTATAAATAAAATTCATCATCATCATCATCATCATCATCATATCCAGGCCGGGGTCTCAGGATCACGTGAGAGCAGGCCGGCCCGAATTCCAGGCACGCTTCGTCAACGGAGAGTGCGTGCAGATCCCCCAACCTCTTGATGGAGGCCAGTGCAACCAGGAGCGCTGTCTTCATTGACAGGAACTTAATCTCCACTGATTGCAGAGGCTCAAAGGGAGCCCTCTGCAGGGCATATAAGACCACTGAGAGGTCCCAAGAGGGTACGAGAGGAGGGCGAGGAGGATTCAGTCTCCTCGCTCCTCTCAGGAACCTGATGATCAGGTCGTGCTTTCCCAGAGACTTACCTTCAACTGCATCGTGATAAGCGGCGATAGCGGCCACATACACCTTCAGGGTGGAGGGAGACAGCCTTCACTCCAGCCCGTCTTGCAGAAAGGAAAGCACGACACCAATCGAGCATCTCCTGGGGTCTTCTCGCCGAGAAGAGCACCAGTTGACGAAGAGGTTCCACTTCAACGCGTAGACGTGTCTCGTGGACAACGCTCTAGCGGAAGCGATGGTAGCCGCCACCGCAGGTGGCAGGGTACTCAAACCTGCCTCGTCCCGTCCAGGAGCCACACGTGGAGTCTCCAAAGATCGGGACGAGGGTGCCATAGGGTACCCCGTCTCTGAGAAAGGAGGTCCTTCCTCAGAGGAATTGGCCAAGGAGGTGCTGTCGCGAGGAGTATCAGTTCGGAGAACCAGGTCTTGGTGGGCCAGTATGGGGCGACCAATATGAACTGCTCCTCGTCCTCCTTGATCTTGCACAGAGTCCGTGCGAGAAGGCTCACTGGGGGAAACGCATATTTGCGTAGGCCCTGTGGCCAGCTGTGCGCCAGTGCATCCGTGCCGAGCGTGCCCTCGGACAGGGAGTAATACAGGGCGCAATGGGATGAGTCGTGGGAGGCAAACAGATATATCTGTGCGTCCCCAAACTGGTCCCATATCAGCTGGACCGACTGGGGATGGAGTCGCCATTCGCCAGAGGTTGGCCGGAGCCGTGACAGCTCGTCGGCTGCAAGGTTCCGCTCTCCTGGAATGTAAATAGCACGAAGGGACCTCAGGTGCTTCTGACTCCATAAGAGGAGGTGGCGTGCGAGTTGCGACATACGGCGAGAGCGTAGACCACCCTGATGGTTGATGTACGCTACTGTCGCGGTATTGTCCGGACGGACAAGTACGTGTTGACCCTGGAGCAGCGCGTGGAAGCGGTGCAGGGCAAGGCGTACTGCCAGCAACTCGAGGCAATTGACATGCATGAGGCGCTGGGGTCCTGTCCAGGCACCCGCGGCTGCATGTCCATTGCACATGGCGCCCCAGCCCGTGGCAGAGGCATCTGTGGAGACAACAACATGCCTGGAAATTCGTTCTAGGGGAACTCCGGCCCGTAGAAAGCTGAGGTTCCGCCACGGGGTGAAGGACTGACGGCAGGTCGGAGTTATTGGAACTCTGAGCGTACCGCGATGCCATGCCCACCTCGGGACCC